TGGTCGAGGGCGTTGCTGATCGGGGACGTGATGGCATTTCTCCACCTCCTCGGCTTCGGCGTACCGGTCCCCCCGCTGTAGGGCCCTTATATAATCGTGGGGGGAGGGGGGGTTCAATGATGAGGCTCCTCGAGAAGTTCCCAGGGTGGAGTACTGTTTGGAGGAGGGCCAGGAGGGTCCCGTCGTCAGCGCCATCAACTTTATCAGCCTCCGTTCTCCAGCGCTCCAAGAAGTCCCGAAGGGTGTCCTCCTTCCTCTGCCTCACTGTCAGCAAGTGGGAGAAGTGTTTTCTTGTGCGGCGCCTTCCCGCAAATTGCGTCAAGAATCGCTGGGCGAGTTCTTGCCATGAGTCAATGCAGCCTTCGGGCAATCGATTGAACCATTCGTAAGTCGACCCCTCTAAGGTGGAAAGGAACCAGCGGCACAAATACTCATCCGATGCCCCCACCATCATCATGCTGTTTTGGTATCTGCTGTAGTGCTCCTGGGGGTCAATTTTTCCGTCGTAGGGCTTGATGAGCTACCCTCGGTATTTTTCCAGGATCCGGGCTGCCAATACCCTTGGGGTAAATGGCGTCCGGGCCCGGAGCTGTATGGTGGGTTCCCCGGAGCCCTCGGTTATCTTCTTCTGCATTTCCTCCATCTTGGCCAACATCGCCTCATACTTGAGGTCTGTATGAGGGGCAGAAGTGGTGGCGTGTGCTTTGGTGGCCTCCATCTCGTCAAGCCGGCGATGGAGGGCCGCAATGATTTCATCCCGGGGGTCCTTCGGGAGGGCCTCCGCCCCCTGCGAATGGACACGGGCCGAGTGGGCCTGGTTGATTTGGTGACGGGCGTCGTTGGCATGGAGAGGTGCCTTGCCTTTGTCCTGAGGGGGACGCCTTTCATTGGCCCTAGAGACGGATCCCCCACTTTCCTGGGGCCTCTGGAACGCCTCCCCCCGAGGCAGTCTTGGACCCCTCGGCGGTCTTGCGCCCCTCCGAGTCTCTCGAGGGCGGAGGTCCGGAGTTGTTCTTTGTTTACGTTATGGCGGTCCCGGGATTGGACTTCCTGGGAGGCCGTATCTTGGGCCACGACCCCCTCGACGTTCCCAATCCGGAGGACCGGGTTCCCGAGGGGGTGCGGATGAGGGGGAGGCATAACATTCTCCCCGACCTGAGGTTGGAGGGGAACCAAAGTGCCGAAGGCACCTGGATTCTGGGTGAGCGTCTGGATGAAGGCGGAAAATTCCGATTGTACGTCGATTGTAATTACCGGAGGGCTAACTTGGTTCTCGCTCCGGTCCTTTTTCCTGGCCTCGATGCCGAGGCGGGCATCGGGGGCATTCTGTTGAATCTGATGGCGTAGGTCGACAGCCGTCTGGTCCAACCCGACGATGACGCCGCCCCCGGGAGCCCTGTTAGAGGCTTCGGGGACGTCGACTTCGCCGAGGGCCAGGTTCCTGTCCTCAACATTCTTGGAGTTGGCACGAGTTGTTCTCATCATTTTAGCTAGGTGTTTTGTGTTTGGCGATGGGGGGGGTTCTTACTTGATTATTCGACCTCTCAACGAGAGCACCAAATGATGGATAGTATACCCGGGGGTAGCTTATCCGAGGGGTTATTACGGGGAATAACTAGAGAGAAGTCAGCGTAAGTAAGTAGAGAGAGAGAGTATATTAGAAATGTATTCAGCGTATTTGCTTCTGGTTACAAACGGGGAAATGGGGTGCTATTTATAGTAGCAATAAATGCCAGATAGGGACACGTGTCAAGCATCCATTGGCCGAGGGGTCACCTCAACTGGTTAGCGCTGGCAATCGCATGTGGCCGCATTTAATGCGGCTGTTGGATGTGACGTCGTACTTGGTACGGTGATCCAGGCGCATGTGGAGCGGATATTATGTCGGGAAAGGTGCCCTCGGCTGCAGGTGTTTAGCCGAGGGCTCTTAGTGCCGGGGACCCCCTTGTGCCGAAGGCTCTGGGTGCTGAGGGCTACTGATTTTCGCCGTTTTTCCCAGTAACTTTGTTTTCTTGATTTGGCCATCCTGTGAGAATTGGAGCCTTCGGCCAGGGGGGCGAAGACACCCCTAGTGTGCCACGTGGGTTGCTTAGTACCTGGGGCACCGCGATTTGGGCCTGCTGTGTTTCCTGGGCCTATTGGGCCTTCATTAGAATAGTAGGAGTCTATGGGTCGGGGGTTCCTGGGCCATATACTCCATTAGTGCTCATGTTCTTGCTAGATCATCAACTAGTTATGCTTCTTGCACTAATTATTTATATATATTCCTTATTGTTTATTCTTTCCATCATTTACAATAGAGCTAAAGACTCACTATTTTTTGGCTTGAGAATGTGATGGAATAAAGAAAAATGATTCTAAACTGCTTGCTCTTCTTTGTTGTGAAGTAGTAGTCAGTCTATGCGACTTTCAACGCGATTTTCACTACAAATCATCCGGAAACGATCTCTTTATGTTTTAGTAGACCGTGTACATCGATCCCCTTATTCCACCGTCAATGAGAGCTGTTGTGATTGAAAAAATGAAGTAGGCTGTACAACAGCCACTCCAATTTAGGTTTCATTAATATATATGGAGCATCAACTATCAACTTAGATCGAAAAAGTACTAATTAGTTGCTTTAAGTCCTTGTGGTCGGTCGCGGCACGGCACACCATTTTAGAGTTCAAGCTAAGCATCAGTTGTGATTATTGCATCAACAAAGGTCCAACAAGAAATGGGTCATTGGGTCATGTGATTATCTCAATTTATCGGCGTAAACCCTTTTTAGCAGTCCCAAAAAGAAGTTCTCATTATCTTAAACGAGAAGTTATGTACCTCAAAACAGTGTCAAACCGTGCAAAACATTGTCAAACAGTGCCAAATAGTAAAATTTACCCCATGATAAGTTTATTTCTTTAATATGTGTGTAAATTAAATCGTGAACTTCTTTGTGGGACGGAGGGAGTACGTATTATGTAGTCAAAATATGGTATAAACTTATTTTTTTTCTAATGCAAAAAGCAAAATTCAAATTTGCTTACCATTCCCCACATAAATTATTATCGGAATTATTGTGGGATATAATAGATTTGTTAAACTTATCTCTATTCTAAAGAAAATTAAAAGATGATGATTATGGCCGGTTATGGCAAAAAGTCCATCTCCTTCAAAAGCCAGCAATTCTTAATTCATTTTCCACAATCACCACCTAGGCACCCACTCACAGTCCCCTTTGATATCTTTTTATATTTTATATTTTGTTTATTTATTGTAGCCAAATAGCATATTAGTTTTTCTGATTGAGAATGTTTTTGTGTCTTATATAGCATGTCAAATTTATTACGCATTCAAACCGATTAAAATTTGGTATACATAACATTAATAATATGGTAGCGAGTACCATATAAAAATGTCGTGTTATAATCACAGAGTACCCTTGGTAAATAAAAATGACTATTTTAGATTGTTTACTAACGTGCCTTTATACAAATGATTAGAATAATTATGATAACCTAACTGTTCTTTTTAAAAAAAACTTTTGCTTTTGAAAATCACAGGTAATTTCTTTTTGGTGAGCGATTTGTTTTTCTCCTTCTACTTTTCGGAAGTGATACATTTTAAAAATACATATGAGAAGTAATTAATTGGAAAATTTGACAGTAATTGAAAAAAATGATACATTAAACAAAAAACCCATTCTTACTTAAACCCGAACCAAAACAAATCGAATTGATCAAACCACATCATTACAAGTTTTGAAATCGAACTGAACTTTTAGTGTGATTTTGTATTTGATTGTGGTGAAAACCGCGCTCACCCCTAACTTTGAGATGTATTAACTAGCTAGAGTTCAACAGAATTCAAATCATATAATACCAATACCATTTTAATAAGCTAGAGCTTTTTTTCAAAAAAATACTTGACTCAATTTTATATATAATCTTATTTTCATTTTAGCTATCTTGTTAGTCATTTTTTACTACACGCAATACTTTCAGTTGTGTATTCTAAATTGTGTACAAATTAAATTAACTAAGATTGTAGATAATTTCTAACTGACTGGCAATTATAATAGAAGATTTTTGTAGCTAGCTATTTTTCACATGTTCTTTTTATTAATTTTATTAATACAATATATCTTGAATATAGAATTATATTATTAATCTATTTGGTCAATTTAGTGACTGCGAACATAGTGTCCGTCTGTTAACACTTGAATTGGTTGAATCAACTGTTTTGCTAAAATTGATCAAATTTTGGTTGAAAATTAATTCTGCTTATGTACATGAAAAAAAAAATATTTTATTAATAAAATAAAGAAAAAAATAAATAAAAATAACTAAAACGGTCTTCCAAAATAGTTTCAATCAATTTAGTCAAAAAAGTAACACGAATCTTACTTATTTTGATTATTGCATAATGTACAAAATTAAAAGTTACTATGTATTTGACGAAAAAAATAACTACTCCCTTTATACCTCTATAATTGTTTCATTTCATATTTACTTGATCAACACAAATCACTCTTTATCTCTTACTTTATATATCAAATTTTTTTCAGATTTGATTCTGGTTTTTATGACTTTGTAAAGCTTTTAATATAGTTTTTAATGTGCAATTTTTTTTCTAAAACTAATTTGAGTGCGAACAGAGATCCATTTTCTTTATCGTTGATGAGTGGAAAAATATCATTAACAAATATCATCGATCAAAAATCATAAACCGCAATCCAAATCAGCTCACAATTACAATGTCACTAATTAAACTTATTGACAGGCCTACTTATACCCACCCACTGAAAAAGATAGGTAGATTCTATGGTACCTATAAGGTACCATACATTTGTTCACATGGACCAATAAAAATGTACCAGTTGAATTATTTAAATCTAAATTAAAAATAATAAAGTAATGTGATCCAATCAAATGAATGTTAGGTACGGTACCCCATTTTTAACCATGCCTCCTTTTTAATGGAGTATGATAGAGTCCTTGCTCCATAAGTTAAACCCTTTCTAGCTTTCTTATACCCCACCCTTCACCGCTTCTGATCTCTTCCTGAATCCACCACCGCCCCCAACCCACTTTCTCTCCCACTTCTTAAATTATAACTTCCCAAGTAAGTAATTAATGTGAATAGAGAGAGAAAAGGACATGGCAACAGTGAAGAAGCTGATCGTAGAGGTGATTGAAGCCCGGAATCTGCTACCCATCGACGGTCATGGCACCTCCAGCCCTTACGTCGTCATCGACTATTACGGCCAGAGGAAGAAGACCCAGACCGTCGAACGCGACCTGAACCCTCAGTGGAACAAGGTGTTGAAGTTCGACGCCGACGCCACCGACGCCGACGTTTTCGGCGACATGCTCGAGCTCGTCGTCTTCCATGACAAGGCCGTGGGTCCCACCAGGAGGAATAACATCCTCGGGGTTCTGAAACTCCACTCCACCCAGTTTGTGAAGAAAGGGGAAGAGGCCCTGATTCATTATCCCCTGTCCAAGAAGCATTTCTTCCACTGGGTTCGCGGGGACGTCGGACTGAAGATCTATTTCGCCGACGAGCCGGCTCCTCCGCCTGCTCCGTCGCCTATTCCTGTCACAGAGGAAGTGAAGGCGGCTGAGCCGCCAGAGGAGGCGCAACCCACATCCGAATCCGCTGATTCACTGGCGGGGGATTCTGGTGGTCCACCGGAAACAGAAAATTCAGACGAACAAAAGCAGAGTAACAATCTCACAGATCCGCCACCGGAACCGGAAAAACTCGTAGATTCAGATGGTGGATCTGCTCTGGTAAGATCGGCTTCGTCCGTAGCAACTTCTTCCATACCGGAGGTCAAAATCAGCGGCAACTTCGTCGTCCCAAAACCGATCAGCCGGACGCCGTCGGTAAGCAGTTTCATCTCCGATGTATCCGATAGATCTTTTATCGAACGGTCCTCGTTCGATCTGGTCGAGAAGATGCATTACATCTTCATCCGCATAGTGAAAGCTCGATCTCTACCGGCTTTCGGATGCCCGGTGGTGAAAATCGCCATCTCCGGCACTCACGTCGTTTCCAGACCCGCCCGGAAAACCTCCGTTTTCGAGTGGGACCAGACATTTGCTTTTGGAAAAGACGCGCCAGATTCCTCCTCCATTTTGGAGGTTTCAGTGTGGGACCCAGTGATTGCCACGCAAGCTGACTCTACATCTGACGTGGCCGGAGAAAACTTTTTGGGCGGTATATGTTTTGATGTGAGTGAGATCCTACTCAGAGATCCGCCGGACAGTCCTTTGGCGCCGCAATGGTATAGACTAGAAGGAGCTGGGGTCTACGGAGGCGATCTTATGCTGGCCACGTGGATGGGGACTCAAGCTGACGAATCGTTTCCTGACGCGTGGAAAACGGATACTGCAGGTAACCCCACTTCACGGTCTAAGGTGTACCAGTCGCCTAAACTGTGGTACCTTAGATCAACCGTTGTTGAGGCCCAAGACGTCTTCCCACTAAGCCCACTATCGAAGCATTCCCTCCAAGTCAAAGCCCAACTGGGGTTCCAAATCCAAAAGACCAAAACCGCCGCATCTGCCACCGGATCGCCGTCGTGGAACGAAGACCTGTTGTTCGTTGCGGCGGAACCTTTCACCGAGAATTTCCTCCAGTTCTTCCTAATCGAGCACGTTTCTCCGAAAGAGCAATCCGTTATCGGCGTAGCTAGAATACCGCTCGCCTCCATCGAACGCCGCGTCGACGACCGCCAGATTGTTTCTAGATGGTTCACTTTCGAAGAGGAGAAAGAAGAGAAGGTAATATACAGAGGCAGAGTCCACCTGAAACTCTGTTTTGACGGCGGATATCACGTCGTCGAAGAACCGGCGCATGTAAGCAGCGATTACCGTCCGACGGCCAGGCAGCTCTGGAAACCGCCGGTCGGCAGTGTTGAGTTGGGAATAATCGGATGCAAGAACCTCTTGCCGATGAAGACAATGAGAGGAAAAGGGTCTACAGATGCGTATGTAGTCGCGAAGTACGGTAACAAATGGGTCCGTACTCGTACAGTATCTGATAATCTGTGCCCTAGATGGAATGAGCAGTACACTTGGAGGGTGTATGATCCATCTACTGTGTTGACAATTGGGGTGTTTGATAGCTGGGAGGTGTTTGAATCAGATGGCTCAAAAGAATCCAAGCGAATTGATGTTCGTATGGGGAAGGTGCGTGTTCGGATTTCCACATTGGCCACCGGGAAAGTATACAGAAACACATTCTCATTGTTGACTTTGTCCCCGGCGGGGTTGAAGAAAATGGGAGAGATTGAGTTGGCTGTGAGGTTTGTCCGCTCATCTCCGACTCTAGATTTGTTGCACGTATACACACAACCGATGCTTCCAGTGATGCACAACATCAAGCCGATCGGTGTGGGACAACAAGAGCTGTTACGGGCAGCCGCGGTTAGACTAGTTATAACACACTTGTCTCGATCAGAGCCGTCATTGAGGAGGGAGGTGGTGACCTACTTGCTCGATGCGGATGCAAACATATTCAGCATGCGTAAAGTGAGGGCTAATTGGTTACGAATCGTCAGTGTCATGGCGGGCGTGTTAGATGTAGTGAAGTGGGTGGAAGAGACACGCGCCTGGAGAAACCCGACTTCTACCATTCTCGTGCACGCTTTGTTGGTAGTGCTAGTGTGGTTCCCAGATTTGATCATCCCCACTTTTGCATTCTACGTGTTCACAATCGGAGCCTGGAACTACAGGTTCAGATCCAACCGCCGGGACAGACTGGACCATTTTGAAACCAAAATCTCACTTGCAGAGTCTATCGAACGAGACGAGCTAGACGAAGAGTTTGATGGCATTCCTTGCATGAGGCCAAATGAAATGGTACGAGCCCGGTACGACAAGCTAAGGGTGCTTGGTGCACGTGTGCAAACTATGTTGGGCGATGTAGCCACACAAGGGGAACGCGTGCAGGCATTGGTGGCGTGGCGAGATCCACGAGCGACAGGGATATTCATTGTTCTGTGTCTGCTGGTGGCGCTTGTGCTTTACTTGGTGCCGTCAAAGATGATAGCTTTGGCGTTCGGATTCTATTATCTGAGGCATCCTTTATTCAGGGACAGAAAGCCTTCGCCAGCTTTGAATTTTTTCCGCAGATTGCCTTCGCTAGCGGATCGAATGCTCTAGCTCTCACTCTCCCTTGTACTTGTGCTATCATGACTTTGACTCTACTCCTCTTGACCTTTGTATTTGGTTGGAGTTTCATTTCTATTTGAGTTAATTGATGCTTGTGTGAAGCTCAACTGAGGCATGATTAATGTCAATACAGAGTTTATACACAATGATTGGTTACTTGGTTACCATCATATAATTAGTGGTGCTTTATAAAATTTGATATAACATAGATGAAAATTTCTAAGGTCATTAGAAAATATAAGAACATTTGGAAGGATGGAGAGCTTGCCAATGATGAAAGAGCAATATGGTTTAGATCATTGGCGTTTTATTTTATCACCAGGGTCATATTAATCGCCACTTCACATCGATAAACCATGATTCGTAAATAAACATAATTTAAAATGGAAGTTCATCATCATCATTACTCCAGTGCCGTAAAGGCTGACACACACCTACAGTGGAGTAAGGGGGATCAGATGTACGCAGTCTTAAAATGGAAGTTCAATGCTAATAAAAATGAACATACAATCAAAGTATAACTTTTGCATTAAATTGATGCATATGTTTATAATTTTAAAATTTAACGCTTTGAAGGGTGAGGGAGGGGAATAACGTTAGGGGTTCTTTAATGGTGGAAATAAACAACAAAGAATCTAAGAAAACATTCATTAATGATTTTTCTAAGAAAACATTCATTTCAATTAAAGATTTTTCGCTCCCTATTATGAGTTTTTAGCTGAATATTTTTGTGGATAAACTAGACTTGATGAAGAACATGCCATAAAAATTTCATCAAAAGATTCCACCGAGAAGGCGGCCAAAAGCCATCGACCGGACGGCGCTTCTTGTGGAGCTGGACGCACCAGAATGGGACTCTATATAGATACATACATACATACATACACACACCATGCACCTATTTTTCTTGTGAGAGAGCCTAGAGAAGTTCTATGCTACATTTCTTTACCTTTGTGTAAACATCTTCTATCAATAAAAGTCATTTCTATACACATTTGAGAGCTCATTTCCATATACGAAGAATTTCTTAATAGAAAACAGGGACCCAACATATATCGATCGTGCTGTGAACGCAACATAAAGTGCAGTAAATGTTGTGCAATAACGACTTCATAGAGTGCATTATTTTTACCCGGACGAAAGTAGTGTAAAATGCATCTTCTTTTAAAAGGGTATTTTTGTCCTTCAACAAATTAATATAACGAAAATCTTTTTTTTCGATTTTTTTCGTATTTCGAGAAAAATCATAACTAGTCACATTTCAGGAAACTCACTTTGTTTTAGTCATATCCCGGGATATTTCCCGATTCGAATTCATGACTTCTTCCTTGAGAGTGTTAGAGTGATGTCATCATGTAAATTAGAAAGAGATATACTTCGTATGTAATAATAATAAAACTAAAAATAATAATAATAATAATAATCTTCTAATAATAATAATAGTAATCTTCTAATAATAATAATAAAATTAAAATGTACTCCGTAATAAAAGTTGAGTGAAAAGGTTAATCAAAGATAACTCCCAACATTCGTTACAGGTGGATACACAACAGAATTAAGCCGAAAAGGGGACCTCTGTGCATTGGCGCCCTGATCTCTCCCTACCGAATGCCTTTCTCTATTCCTCTCCTGTTTAAACAGGAAGACCACATTGTCGCTTTCTACGACATTGGGAAGTTTAGAGCTCAAGGAGAAGGAAGGAGAGGGCTGGCAGGGGATAGCGCAATCTCGAGCTGAAGCGCGTTTATCGTTCTATCCCATCATGAACGATCTTTTATCGGTGCGTTTCTGAAAATCTTACTATTCTGCAAATTTAGTGAAGAGTTACATTAGCTTTGTGTATTGATTAGAAAACAATCAAGGGTGTAACCGCGAGGAAGCAAAATAAAAACTTTATGTGATTTCTTTATTAATCTCAGATGCAATGTGATTGTAAACGTTTCATTGTTTTAGTAAAAATTCACGGTCCTTATGCTTGATTAATGCGTGAATGCCCACGTAATTATATTGATCCTTGACCTCCTATCTGTGGTTTTTTAACATGGAGAATAATTTAGCATGTTTATTCGTTCAATCCATCCTCGCTCTGTTTGATTTAAGCAGTCAATCTATATTTTTTCTTCTTAAAAGGAAAACAGAAGTGCAATAAGGATGTCTCATCATTATGCGCGATTATATATATGTTCAGCAATTGAAAAAGATTGAGAGAGGGGGCGTTCAATGAATGATGACGGGCAGCTGATTGATAGCCTCGACTAGGCGTCTCACTTGTCATTTTCCCTGATCTCTAAGCTATTAAGGGTCTGCATGGATGGGTTCTTTGGAGGGGATGACTTTGGACTATGGAGGGGGCTTTCTCTATGTCTTGATACTATATACAATGTGTCTAAAAATGAATAAAATGTGTTCGACTAAAATGCTTTCTCTATTTTTTGACATCTAAACATGTTTTATATTCATACCTTCAAGAATCATTGAATTAAAACCTTTATTTGAAGTTACATGCTTAGCATCCGACTTATCATCACTTCCTAAGGCAGTGACTTTTTTTTCAATACAATTCTTCTTCTTAAGAATGGGTTTGCATGTGCTTGGTTGCTTCAATTTATCCATCTGATGTCACAAATTCTACCAGATTTAGTTTATTTCTCATACATGAAAGATGTAATCTCTACTTTGTAGTCTAATTGTATATGAGATCGGAAGTGTTCTCTAGAAAGTAACACCGATAGAAAATGAAAGAGAGTGTTTTTAAACAAAATAAATGAAAACAAGAAGTCACAGAAAGAACAAAGTAGCATTGTACCCATTCATGTGGCAATATACATCTACAAGACCTCGATCTCTACATTATGCTGCTACATCTATTTTATACCTATCGCCTTAAATGTATTCCTCCAGAAGAACTTACCTTTTCCCCTAAACTTTTCTTAATTTCTTTTTCAGGGTTCATTTGAGATCCAAAGGGATTCAAGATCTGGAAATGGAGATATTGAAGTTGCAATTCATAGACCAATGAACTCAGGAGAACTTCGCTTAGATAATTTTTTTAATCGGGTACTTCCAAATTCTCCTTTTTGTTATTGTCAATGTATTGTCTGTGGTTATACATTTTCCTGTTATTTTTCTGCATTGAAGATATCAGAAACTTCTTATTTTTCACACTTTCCTTCTTATCTGAAAAGGTTGAAGAACTTGAGAAACAATATGGTAAAGTGGATATGCTTCTCAGAAAACTTCAGGTATTTTTTTTCCTTATACAAGTTATGTTTGTGATGTTTATGTATCATTTCATCACAATCAACAATCATTTCTCAATTTCCTTGAAGGATGTTCATGATCTTTTTCATTAATTTACCTATTAGGTAATGAGAATTAAAAATAAAGAAACCACTATGTTCCACTTTAGTGTTATGTTCTGCATGTGCGAACAGTTTGATGTACAAAATGGATGACTCATGATAATTTTTAAATGAATGTGTCAGTTACTACACTACGTGGAATACAGTGTACATTATGCTATTAGATACCAAAAAGCTATTTTTAACGGTATTACTTAGATACTGTTAGGAAATATGGATTCTCAACTCTGTGCAGAATGCTTGTGTCCAATCATCCGATACCAAAAAGCTATTTTTAACGGTATTTCCCTATTGATTTCATAGGATGCCCATGAGAAATCAAGGGCTGTAACAAAAGCTTCTGCAATGAAAGGTACTCAAACTTTTATTTCTATAAATATTACGTTCCTTATGATCTGAGAATTCTGTAGCCATCAAGTTGGCCATGCCATTCTTCAACATCTCTCTCAGCATATAAACTGAATTAAATGGAAAGCTCTTTGATCATGGATTAATCCAGGAGATAAACCTATACTTGTCCAGAAAACCAAGTATGGGTATTCCTTGTTTGGGGTTTTGGTTTAGAACAATCTACTATAAATGAGTAGCATTCCTTTGCAGTGCCACTTTTACTCAATAAACTACTACTCCGTCTCTGTTTGGAGTCCTCCAATTAAAGTTGTTTGTAAAGAACTAGACACAAGTAACCTGATTGTGGAGTAATAGAGTTTCCTTGGAATGGAAAATCCTTATTTGTAAAAGCTCATGAAGTTTTGTTTGTTTTTTAATAATCTGTGTCATAATAATGACATAATTTACAGCAATTAAGCAGCAAATGGAGAAAGATGTTGATGAAGTTGGAAAAATTGCGCGGTTTATAAGATCAAAATTTGAGGAGATCGACAAAGAGGTGATTAAGAAAATACTGACAAAATACATGTTACTACATTTTATACATTTCTGATTTCCTATGTTGTGGTTTTATAATTTTCCAGAACTTGGCCAGCAGGAACAAACCTGGTTGTGGCAAAGGATCAGCTGTTGACAGATCACGTTGTGCAACTACAGTGTATTGAAAATGCTATTCATATTTGGTTAAATGGTTTTTATATTTATGTGCTATGTCTAAATTTAATGTCAGAACATACCAAACCAACAGGAGTGTAGATATTGGGAAACAATGCTAATACTTGTAGTCTGTAGATTGATGCAGATTTTGAGTCATACCATCATTTTCAATAAATATTACCAGTCCTATTTCTTTTTATTGTAGTGCGGTGAAAAAAAAGTTCAAAGACAAGATGATGGAATTTCAGGTACTCAAACTTGGATGCTGAATTGAAAAAATGCTTATTTGTTTTCTTTTATAGTTTTTCTTGTTCATTGACATTTTCAGACTTTAAGGGAAAGCATCCATCAAGAATATCGTGAGGTTGTTGAGAGACGCGTATTCACAGGTTTTAAACGATTCCTATCTGTAATTGCCTGCTGTGTATTTTATTTAAGAATTGTCATCACAATTACAAAAGGCTGCCCTCTCTATATATCTCTAACTTTTTGCCCCTTGATAGTTACTGGAAATCAAGCTGATGAAGAGGTGAGATGGTTTTTCCGGTAAATTTTCAGTGAACTAATTCCCCGGAGCAGTATGTGTGCCATATTATCTAATTGCACTGGTATGCTCCTTGTATTCAGACAATTGACAGGTTGATAGAGACTGGGGACGGTGAACAAATATTTCAAAAAGCTATTAGGGAACAAGGGCGAGGACAGGCATGCAATATTTGTCATCATTATTTTTCTCTCTTCTATCCAATAATATATCCCCTGTGAGTTATTTGCATTATCTTCTTTGCAGATAATGGACACCCTTGCAGAA